ATATTAACACATTGATGGTATAATTATGCAAAGAGTTGTTTCTCGAAACAACTCATGAGATTTTCCATTAATGAGGCAATTATATCAGTTCGTGCATAGTAAACGTTAGTGCGTTTCGTGTTTTATTGCATCATAATGGATTTTTAAACCATTACTGCACAAAACTCTACCCTTGACGAGTAAATCGTCTTGTATTAGACAGAGGTACATTGGGTGCATTGCAGCATAAGACGCATAATGTATTGGTCAATAGTCATCAAACAAAATGCCCAGAATGTCATTTTCATTTAAAGTATTTGTGAAAGTAGCTCCCAACTGAGCAGGATAATGATTATGTTTTTAATGACGTGAAAATATGAAAGATGTAATTATGGTGCTTCAGCATAACTAAATGTCATGTTTCGCTCGCTACTCTGGTTTAAATAAATGATTACAAAGCCCAGTCGAATTGTAATCAAGACCCATTCTTTTAGTTTCACAAACAATATATATTCATCATGTTTCGCTCGCTACTCTGGTTTAAATAAATGATTACAAAGCCCAGTCGAATTGTAATCAAGACCCAACATTTCGACACTCCAGTCTAGTGTCTTCATCAGGGGTGATCTAAAACTGCGATCGTGGCTTCTTAAATACCCAAGGGATGACGTCACCTGCCAAGAAGAGGCATATATTCTTCTGGCAAATAGGCGCCGTCATCCCTATTCAAAGCATGATGACTCATATTTATATGCCACGCTTCTAGGCAAAGTCTTTGACCATAGCGATTGTTTGTGGTAATTACTTTAGAGTTTTCCCACGCAATCTCGTGTTTGGTGTAACATACATGTTCGGCTAAAGCTGATTTTCCCTTATCTAAAGTTGAAACAGCCTTTTGATGTTCTTTTAGCCGTGTACCATGGGTCTTGATTACAATTCGACTGGGCTTTGTAATCATTTATTTAAACCAGAGTAGCGAGCGAAACATGATTGATATACCTGGTTGCAGTGAACGAACAAACTTTATATAACTAAATGTTTTAATAAATATGTCTAAATATATCACTATAGTTAGATTGGTAAACATATAAGAGGTCGATGGAATCCATGTCTTTGGGAAACACAACGTTTCATATTTTATCGGTAAACCGAAAAGTCAAAGGTGATCGGCATGGCATTATATTGACCATCTTCATCTTTTTTCTTCTTCCTCTCCTTGAAAATGATCTGTCCACAGCCACCTATCTTATAGGCACCTTCCTCTCTAAAATTCATAGCATCATCCAGGTTTGTTTCTTCTTCAACTCATCCTTTGTCTCCCAACTGTTCCTCATTGTTTCCTGTTGGGTATCTCCACACTAACGTGACTGTATCGTCTTTCTTTTCAATAAGCAGACAATTTGATAATAATGACGAGTACTTATTCGTCGGTTTGTATAGTGATCCATATTATTATGTTTCCAATGATGACTATCCTGCTTGGAGATTAAAATATACGCCAAGCCAATATGCGTAGGTTGTCTTCAAAAAATAAATGAAGTATAAATAGCTTGAAATCGAAGCGGACAATGTAATCTATTGTAAATAAGTAGTTTTCAAGGTCAGCTACCAAATTTGGTAAGTTTCTATATGATTATATTTTCTATTACTAATGCAAAGCAATGTTGTTTTGATTACACAGCTGTGCAGTGTGAAGGAGGAAAGATCTACAAGCCATGTGGTCCAGCATGTGCAAACACGTGCTCAAGTTCTTGTGATCAAAATTCAGTTTGTCCTGTGGCTTGTGTCGAAGGTTGCCACTGTCCTGAAGGCACAGTGGAGCACAATGGAAAATGCATACAGCAGGAAAACTGCCCGTGCATCGTTGGTGGGAAAGCGTATAATGCCACTGCATTTGTTATCAAGAATTGTCAGAGATGGTAAATATTTGTTTATTTCATGCAGTAATATGGTATATTCATGAAAACAGTGTTGTATATTTATACGCATTTCTTCAACTTAATACATTTTGAGAAATACATTTCAAAGAATAGCTACACTCAGTGGCGGCGCCACGGGGGGAGGGATTTCCCCCCCCCACCCTCAAAAAAAATTATTAGTCACTAAGAGCGACTAAAGGCTACACAAGCGTTCTGTGGTTTATAAGTTGTCATTACTCATTAGTGAATGCGCGTATACATATGAAACTGTTTTTTACAGTTTCAATATTAGTTTGTAAATCTATGAATGGTAAAACCTGCCAATACTCCAATAATACGTTTCAAAAAAAGACAAAAAAGCTTTAGTTTTGCAGAGTTAAATTCTCAAACGTGTAAGGCAATAATAAGATGAAAGTATCACGAAATTATTTGAATAAGCCACATCGCATATATGGGGGGCGAATGTCCTAAAGAAGGGTGATATTCCTAGGGTATTCGCCCCACCCCCTGGGAGGCGATATTCCTAGGATATTCGCCCCCGGGGGCAATATTCCTAGGAATATCGCCACGTTTTGAGGGGGGGGGGGCGACCTTTTTAAAAATTATATCTTGCCCCCCCCCCAAAAAATTTGAGTTTGCCCCTCAAATGCCCCCCCCCCCAAAATTTGGAAGCCTGGCGCCGCCACTGGCTACACTGAGTAACATAATTGAGTATATTGCTTCCTGGTATTCTCGTATTCTAATAAAAAACTGGTTAGCATAATTAACTTTTAAGAGATATAAAATGCCTTTTTCAAATGCTTTGTGAAAAAGATGATTTAATCATTCTCATTCCAGCGTGTGTAGAAATGGTTGCCTTAGCTGCACTGGACCAACATGTACCACAACAGGTAAGATATTTTGTCAATATGAGTCACTTTACTTCCGCGTCTAAACTGCACATGTTAACATTGCTGAAACCTATAATTTGTTATTAATTATCAATATAAAACTATAGATTTCGAGCAGATGCGTGTAACTAATGTCACTGCCACCCGATCAGTCAATCTGTTTAATGTTCCACTTTTATACAACGCACTGTTTGTGTTTAATAGTTCCTTCCACAACTCCAGTTAGTACAACAAGAAGTACAACGGTCTCAACCACTCTAGCAAGTACAGCACCAAGTACAACCGGCTCAACAATTCCACCTAGTACAACACCAAG